TTCTCTTGTCCCAGCCTCCTGCGGGGCCTCCTCCGTCCCCCAGACCTGGAAAGGCAATAGAGAAGGAGCCCAGTGTCCCTCTAGGCGCTCCACAAATGGAGAAACAGGTTTCCTTTTAAGGCAATTCAACCTCCCCACAGCCCGAAGAAGTTGGCCCTTGGAGAGAATGGGCCGGGCAGAAAGGAGGGGGCGGGTGGGGAGGGAGCCCCGCCCCTGCGGGGAAGGAGGGGGCGGGGCTCCCTCCAGCTGAGACTCCCCACAGGTGGGTACCCTGGAGGGCACAGAGGGCCCAGCCACAGGGGCTGCCTGGAGCTCTCCCTGGCTGGGACGCGGCCTTTGTTCCTCAGCTCCAGGCTCTGGAGTCCTGTCCCTTTACTGGGTTCTTAAGAGGAGACCCACAGCCAAACGGCCAGGCTCAAAGGAACAGCCCTGCAGGGAGGGCCGGAGCAGATTTCCCTTCCTGGCAGGTCCTTGGGTTTCACTCCTTTCTCCGCCCATGTTCCTGATCCCCTGGGGCCCCTGTCGTGCAGCCAGGGAGAACAAGGGAGGCCTGTGCGAGCTGTGGGTCTCCCCAGAGGGAGAAGGGCTTTTGTGTCTGGGAACAAACACGGCTTGGAACTGGCTCCCAACCTCGTGGCTGGGGGGACTTTCCTCCCTGAGGGGTGTTCCTGGGGGCTTGAGTAAGTCTCCTGCTGGCCCTTGGGGTCGGAAGAGGAGAGGCCAGGGAGGAGAGCCAGCACGGATGTGCTGTGTGCCCACTGGGCGCAGCCACTCCTAGCTGTGCCAGGGCCACAGCACAGTGACTGGGGGCACAGAAGGACGCAGAAACAGTGGGACCTGCTTTAGAATCTCAGTTCTACCTCTTCCAGCTGTGTGGCTGCAAGCAAGTTGCCTGATGTCTAGGAGCCTTGTTTTTCTTATCTGTAAAGTGGGCACATATTCTTTGCCTTCAGATGCTGAGGGTGAACTGGGAGGGTGTATGTAAACTGATGCGTGGCAGGCATGTAGGCAGTGGCAGTCTGGCTGCCTTGGCTGTAGGAGTTTCACCAGTCACATGGAGTCACCTTATCAGAGGGAAAAGAGCTTCACCTGTGTGGTGTCATATGGCCGGACACATTGTCCCCAGAAGCTTCCAAAGCAGAGGACCCCTCACTTCTCACTGTCCAGAAATGGTCTCGGCCTACTCCTCGACCAGCCGCTGGCAGGAGAATGACAGTCCCATGACTGGCTTAGGTGACTCTGGCTCTGGCCCTAGACCTGGGGATGGATGGGGCCCCTCTCCTGGGTCACTGGGCTCCCTAAATAAAATCGGTGTTGTGTAGGAAGGACAAGGGGGAAATGGCTGATGGTCAGGCAAACAGTAACACACATTGCTGTTCTTCTGAACGGTCCTCCCCGTGGTATAGTTTTGAGTTTTGCAGCCCTGAGTCCTTGTTCAACAAGAGCAGCTGGCCCCTGGGATCCTCAGGACACAAAAGGGCACAAGGTGGCCGGGCGAGGTGGCTCACGCCTGTAATCCCAGCACTCTGGGAGGCTGAGGCAGGTGGATCGTTTGAGCTTAGGAGTTCGAGACCAGCCTGAGCAAGAGCAAGACGCCCATCTCTACTATAAATAGAAAGAAATTAATTGGACAGCTAAAAATATATAGAAAAAAATTAGCTGGGCATGGTGGCGCATGCCTGTAGTCCCAGCTACTCGGGAGGCTGAGGCAGGAGGATTGCTTGAGCCCAGGAGTCTGAGGTTGCTGTGAGCTAGGCTGACGCCACGGCACTCACTCTAGCCTGGGCAACAAAGTGAGCCTCTGTCTCAAAAAAAAGAAAGAAAAAAAGAAAAAGAAAGGGGCAGATGGAACAGAGGGACATCAGTGGCTGGAAATGGGGACTGGCCCCCAGACTTGGGAACTCGGCCCCCTGGCTTATCTGAGGAAGGCAGAGAAAGGACACGGCGGTCAGTGGTGAGCCGGCCCTGAGCGGTTGCGGGCGGTTGGTCTGGAATCCGGAACGGGGAGAACTGGGCTGGTGCCATGGGCACTGGTCCACCTAGCCCCACCTGGGAGCGGACAGCGGACCCCAGCCCCGGCCCCTCCTCGGCACAGCGTCCCCCGCTCTGCGCACGGCACTGCCTGCGTGCTTCCCCTGTGCCAGGTCAAGCCTCCTGCCCTGATCACGTGTGAGGAGGAGGGACAGACACGGAGCTGGGCACACGTGAGACTGCGCGGCGAGCATGTCGAGTGCCGGGTGAGGGTTGGCTACTCGCAGGCAGGGGGAGCCACGGACTCCTTTGAACAAGAGATGACCCCAGAGGCAGGACAGCCTGTCCCCCCTGCGACAACAGCCTCAGAGCCGGTCGCGCCCCTCTACTCGGCAGACAGCGTCTTGGGGGGAGCGTAGTTTGGGGGACACATCTAAGGACGGGGAGGCGCTCTTCACATTCTAGGATTTGCGGTCGGATTCCTCAGCGATGGAGAAGATGCGGCACCACAACAAAAGTGGAGCAGTCAGGAAAAAGAAAATGAGAAAAAAGAAAACGAGTTCAGATCGCTCATGTTAAAATTGAGATACCTGTGCGCCCGCCTGGTGGAGACGCTCACCTGAAGTGAGCCTGGGCTCAGAGGAGAGGTCGGGGCCAGAGACATGGGGGAGTCTTGGTAGGGAGGTGACAGCAGGGGGTGGGATCGCAGGAGATTGGGGAGAGAGAGGGACCAGGATGGGACCAGGGGGAACCCCAACTTTTAGGATATGGGAGTGAAAATGCATCTCTCTCTGCTCCAACAAAGCCTTGCTGAAGACTCCCGTCACCCGGGTGATATTCTAGTCTCAGTAACCGGTGGTGTGCCAGCTTCAACACCAACTCCCCCCCCCATTGTAGCCTGCACATGGTTACCATGGTGAGCCAGCATCACCAACACCACCACCCCCAGCCCTGATTGTAGCCTGCACACGGTTACCATGGTGAACCAGCATCTCCAACACCACCACCCCCAGCCCTGATTGTAGCCTGCACACGGTTACCATGGTGAGCCAGCATCACCAACACCACCACCCCCAGCCCTGATTGTAGCCTGCGTACGGTTACCATGGTGAACCAGCATCTCCAACACCACCACCCCCAGCCCTGATTGTAGCCTGCGTACGGTTACCATGGTGAGCCAGCATCACCAACACCACCACCCCCAGCCCTGATTGTAGCCTGCACACAGTTACCATGGTGAGCCAGCATCACCAACACCACCACCCCCAGCCCTGATTGTAGCCTGCACACAGTTACCATGGTGAGCCAGCATCTCCAACACCACCACCCCCAGCCTTGATTGTAGCCTGCACACGGTTACCACGGTTACTGAGCATCTCTGGCCGGTCCCAGGCTCTGCAGAGACACTCCTGTGCAGAGGACATGGCCCCGGCTGTGGCTTTCAGCATTGGGGCATCTTTTATTCATCCTCGACTGCTCACCGACCATCCACGTGACACCTGTGTGCCCAAGGCCGTGCAGGGTGTAGGAACATGGTGGCGATCACCACCCGGACCCTCTTCTTGAGCTGAGACCCATACCTCCAGCAGTGGGGACCGTGTCTCCCTCTATCCTTGACATCTTTATTTATTTTTCTTTCCTTAAAATGTATTATTATTATTATTTTTGAGATGGGTCTCACTATGTTACCCAGGCTGGTCTCAAAATCCTGGGCTCAAGCGATCCTCCTGCCTCAGCCTTCTGAGTAGCTGGGACTACAGGCATGCGCCACCATGCCCGGCTAATTTTTTCTCTATATATTAGTTGGCCAATTAATTTCTTTCTATTTATAGTAGAGACAGGGTCTCGCTCTTGCTCAGGCTGGTTTCAAATTCCTGACCTCAAGCAATCCACCCGCATAGGCCTCCCAGAGTGCTAGGATGACAGGCATGAGCCACCGGGCCCGGCCTCAGCTTCTCTTTTTATCCCCATTGAACAGATGTAGAAGTCGAGGTTCGGAAAGAGCAACTGCCTTGCCCGTTGCCCCACAGCCAGCGAATGGCAGGGTCCAGCCCCCAGGTCTGAACCAATACCTAGAGTGTCTCAAAGCTGGTCCAGGCTGCCTGCTCTGGACTTGCCTGGGGTGCTTGTTAAAAATCCAGATTCCTGTACCTCAGACACTGTGATGTGTCGGGTTCGGGGTGGTGCTGCCAAATCTGATTTTGCAAACGCCCTCAACCTGATTCGAATGTGCTCTAAAGTGGGGAAACTGAGCCCCGGGTGCCTGCCTCCTGGTTTTTCTTAAAAAAAAAGAAAAGTATTTTTTTTTTTTGTGGTGAGCTGTATTTTACATACAAAAGAGTGTATAAAGCCTATGTGTGCGGTTCAGAGAATAATTATGAAGTGAGTCCCTACGTGACAGCCACCCAAGTTAAAGAGGACACAGTCAGTGCCCTGGCAGCTCCCTGGTGACCCCGTCCCATCACGGTCCCTTCCCTCTGTTGGGGGTGGCTCCTCCAAGACAATGGTTTGTGCCGACCATCCCTTGCAGTAACTTTGCCGCCCGTATTTTCATCCTTCACAATATGGGTTTTGCCTGTTTGTGAACGTCACACAAACGCACTTGTGTTCTACCAGCCCTAGTCTAGCTGCTTCTTTCCTTGCGTGTCCTTCTGTTAGCTTCATGCTGGTGCATGCAGGGGCATGCAGGGGCACGAGGCCCATTTTTATTGCTACTGCAGCCTCCTTTGGAAAGCCCCTGTCTCATGCCGATCTCTGTCCTGCAGGGCGCCTGGCACAGGGCTGCAGACACAGCAGGTGCTCGGTGCATCTCTGTTGGTTAGACGGGGGAGGAAGCCCCCGAGTGAGAGTGAGAGGATGTCGCCCAAGAACAAGCAGGAAGAGCTCTGCCAGGCCTGGTCGCCCCCGCGGGAGTTGTGCCTTCGTCTTCCCCTGCTCGGTCTCTGCCTGCTGCTTTTCTGTCCTGGGCAGCCTGAGATGTTTCCGTCTCCCCCTGCAAAACTAATTCCCATTGCTGTGTCCCTTTCCAGAATGCCGAACTGGGGAGGAGGCAAGAAGTGCGGGGTGTGCCAGAAGACGGTTTACTTCGCCGAGGAGGTTCAGTGCGAAGGCAACAGCTTCCACAAGTCCTGCTTCCTGTGCAGTGAGTACCCCCAGGCCGCTGTTGCCTTGGACACCAGGACGGGGCCTGCCCCCGCAGGCTGGGCCTGTCAACACCCCGGGAACTGGTCCCCTGGGATGTAAACAGTTTGACATTTGGCTGCAGCTGCAGCTGGGGAGGAGAACACTTAAGGGCCTCTTTGTTCCATTCAGAAGCTGCTTTCTGAGGGCCGAGCTGGCGGGGTGGGGGTGGCAGGCGCTCAGGGGCCGGGAGCCAAGCTGCGAAGACTCTCGAAGACTCGGCTAGGAAAACTTTCCACTCGGCTCGCTCTTCTCGCGGTCTGTGCCACAGTGCCATCATTTCAGAGGAGACGCCTTTAGCACACCAGTGTCCCAAGGCTTCGCTGGCCTTTGTCCCTTTGCCTTGTTAAAGGGCAACAGAGGCCACGGCCTTACAGGGAAGCCGAGCCCCTTGTAAACCGGCCGTTCCTTCCCCTCCCTTCCCATCCTCTGGGACGAGAGGAGGAAGGAGCGCAAGGTTCTTTGATATCCACTCTTAGCAATCCAGAGGAAGATTCGCTCCAGCAGCCCGCCGGGATGAGTAGGAAACCAGGCAAAAGACACCAAGCACCTGGCGGGGGTCAGGCCGGCCCAGGGATCCTGACTCCCTGACGCTGCCCCACTGGTACCTGGCCGGGCGATGTTTCCGGGACGTGGCAGCTCGGAGAAGCCTCTCCTCAGATTCCTAAATGGTTTGGTTCGCCGTGATCAGAGCAGAAGGTCTGGGTGAGAAGGAGAGGCGGCTTTAAAGCAAGGTCATTTTCCTTGAGAGCAGGCAGAGAGTGGGAGGGGGCAGAATGTCTTGGCGAACCCCTGGGTTTCAAAGCCGGTCTGATCAGGGTTTGAATCTGAACTCAGTTTTTATTATCTGGGTGATGATGGACAAGTTACTCAATTTCTCTGTGGTAGAGCTCTCCTATTATTATGGTAAAGGTAATAATACTTACCTCATGGGGTGGTTGTGAGACTTGAAATGAAAGGAGCTTGTAAAACAAATAAAGCACTTAAAGCGATTGTGAGTGTACAATAAATGATAAACACTCCCCTGACATGCACACGCACACACATGCACACGCACACATGTGCACATGCACACGCACACATACACACATGCACACGCACACATGCACACGCACACGTGCACACACTCGCACACAAGCACACATACACATGCACACACGTGCACACACATACACACACACATGCACACGCACACATACACACATGCACATGCACACATACACACACATGCACATGCACACTCGCACACAAGCACACATACACATGCACACACGTGCACACACATACACACACATGCACACACATACACACACATGCACACACATACACACACATTCACACGCACACATGCACACACATGCACATGCACACTCGCACACAAGCACACATACACATGCACACACGTGCACACACATACACACACACATGCACACGCACACACTACCAGGGGATCCCTAACACGAGGGTGTGACACAAAGAAGACCTCCCTGGGGCTGAAGTCACAGCCCACCTGGCGAGCAGGTCGCGTCCACCCCGCATCACAGGAGCAAAGTCAGGAGATCTGAGGTTCCTTCGTCCCCAGCTGACTCGAGCTCCGGAGTAGGATCCAGATGAGCCAAGGCCCACCTGCCCGCGCGTGTTCCCCACGTTCCTACCCATTGCTGGGCAGCCCAGCCTGAAGCCACCCAGCGCAGGGCAGCAGGGGCGCCACCCCCTGCCCAGCCCAGCCGGAGCGACAGCCCCAGCCCTGCGTCTGGTGGACGGAGAGTAAACAGGGTTTGCCGGAGCTTTCCTGGCGTCCAGCCTGCAATGGAGCCCGGAAACAGCAGCGTCTTGTTATCAGCAGTTCGCTGCTCTTAAGAATTTTCGAGCCGTTTATGTTTTCAGAAGGCGTAAGAGAGGGCTTGGTGCTGGCTGGGGAGAGAGTCCAGGCTGCCGGGGTCCTAAGGGCCCTCTCTGCTGTCAGACGTTGCTTAATCATCGCCTAAAATTGTGCTGAGAGCCCTGCCTGCAGCGGCTCAGGGGGAGGAGGAGTCATTGGTGAGGGAAGCCAGGAATGCAGGGGGTGGCAGAGGAAGGAAGGAGCAGGGCCTGGGGCGGGCTGTGCAGAGTCAGGCCGGGGAGCAGCGCTGGGGCGGGTGTTATGTAATAACACCACGGGGAACAGTCTCGTTCTCCCTGGGGTCTCAGGGCCAGCGCAGTTCCTGGGTGTCAGAGCTCCAAGTGGACCCCTTGGCACCCCACGCATCCCAGCAGCCTGAGGTATCCACACCTTGCTTTTTTTCTAGTGCCTAGAACAGTGCCCGGCACATGGTGGGTTCTGGGCAATGGTTTATTTCTGAGTGGAGGGAGCATTATTTCTCTTTCTCAGTGCAGTGGGTGACAAATATCCAGCTTGAATTCAGGGCCACCCACAGCACCAAAGGCCTTTCCCTCCTAAGGGCAAGCGGCTAGCAGGGTCCGGGCCTGGGGGGCTGTAAGGGCCATCTCCCTTGTTGGCTGGGCCTGGGAGGGTCCCCAAAAGTTCTTCCAACCATGTGGGTCCTTGGCTCTGGATTCTACTTTAGTGCCCCTTCCCCGAGGATCTGGATGGACAGGAAGAAGACAGGGCAATGTACTAGGCATAGTCAGGGGAGAACCACCTCCCCCGGGCATGGCCTTTGACCTGGGGGCAGGGAGCGGGCAGGCCTGCAGCGACTCGCATGTCTCAGTTCCCATCGGCGGACGGTGGGGCAGAGGCAGGCAGGAGAGCTCAGCTCTGCAGCTGCGAGCCTGCCCTGAGGCTGTGTGTCCACCTCTGAGCTGTAACCGCTCCCTCCTCGGGCAGGTCAGGGTTGAGCAGCCGGCCCTGTGGACAAGAAGAGCCGCTCCGTACTAACCCTGTGGTGGAGGCTGATGGAACAGGGCTCAGAGGGCTGGCCCTGGGCCGCTCCCCAGGATCCCAGAGCGCCGGGACGCTCGCAGAAGCCCTGCACGCCTCTGACATCAGCGTCTCCACGCAAGGCTTCCTCGGGTTTTCACCCTCCCACCCACGTGCTCAGCCTACGCAGAGGAGCCGTGGGCTGGCGGAGAAAAACCGCGTCTGGAAGTCTGGCTGGTTCTGGCCTGGCCCTGCTTGTGGGCCCATTACCTGAGCTTGAGCTTTTTCTGTGATCCTCAGTTTTCCTTCTAGAAGCAGAGAGAATCAGTCTCCACTTCCAAGTATTTCCTCTTCTCTGTATTTCCAAACAGCATCACGAGGCCCTGCCAGGGCAGGGGGCATCTGGAAGTAGATTTTCCCAGCAAATGCGATAGTGAATCCAATCTGGCTTTTTTTTTTTTTTGGCTTACCAGGATTTGGTAGAAATTTATTTAGGCCTTCCTTCAAAATTGCGCTTGATTGAGTCTTTGGTGGGCCTTACAAGTGAGTTGAGGGTCACTTGGATGGAGGGGCAGAAGGCCACCGTGGGAGGACTGGGCCTCTGGGGGACAGGAGGCCAAGCCAGAGCAGAAGGGAGCAGGGGGCTCTTCAGCAGGGCAGCCACATGGAGGCTGTCAACCTGCAGGCCCTGATGTCTCCTCCAGGCTCAGTTCCTGGGTCTCCCATTGGAGAAACCAGTCAAAAGAGAACCAGTCTGTTCCCCTAACCACTCTTATCTCCACCTTCTGCCTTCCCTCTGGTCTTGGAATTCCAAGTTCATTTCAGGTCATGCGAGGAAACAATTCCAGGCCTATTCCTGACTTCCCACCCTAGAAGGGAATGTTGGAGCCCGAGGCCTGTCGTTCCCTCTCCCTTCTTCCTGGGGGCCAAGCCCCAGGGGACGTGGTGGGAAGTTCCATATTTGGGCAGCCCAGCGGTGCTGGAATGAGATGGAGATCTCCAGGGCAGGGCAAGAGGGTCCTTATTTAGCCTGAAGCTTCCAACCTGGGGCTCGGGGTGAGAGAGGAGCTGGCAGGGGCCTGGACCCTTTAAAGGCAAGAGGATGGCGGTTGCAAGGAGCTGAGCAGAGAGCCTTCTGCGAGGGAGACAAGAGGCGTGGCTTCTCCCAGGTTTCTATCTTCAGAAGGACACGTTTGAGGATGCAGTCTAACGGGGGCACATTGAACTCCAATGTCATAGAATATCATAGAACCAAATTATGGTTACCGGATGAGACCTAAAGAAACAGGTGGAGTTGAGAGGAGTATTTGGGGGTTAGAAGGAGTGATCTCTTGAGGCCTAGGCCTGTCCCTCCCCTCCCTTGTCTCCCAGTGGTACTAACTTTATATAGTACTAATGAGAGTGGCCGGCATTTATTATGGACCTATTGTGTGCGGGGTATTGCACTAAGTAGTTCACATGTAAGATCTTATTTGATTCTCAGAACCGCCTTTTGGGGCAGACATTATTATCTGCATTTACAAATGAGGACAGAGGCCGGGAAGGCAAAATACTTTGCCCGAGATCACACAGCTGGAAAGGGAGAGAGCTGGGATTTGGTTCTGGGCAGTGTAACCCTCCATGATCCCAGGCTCTGAACTGTTTTTCTCCGGATAGCCGGGCACAGCTCCCCTCTGCGATTAACCCGAAGGTGTGTGAGGCCCGCAGGCTTTCTAGCTCATCCCATTCCAACCCCTCATACCCCAGGAGTCAGGAATTTCTCCCCAGTGTCTGCCCTATTTCTTCATTTTGTGGCAAAATGATTCCTGAGATTAGAAAGTTCAAATCCATTTGTGATTGGCATGACCTGCATCGCATGTCTAAGCCCATCATGTGTGATGTCAATAAATGTTAAACTTTTCTTTTGGGTGGTATTGCTTCGCCTGCACCCCTCCCTCCAGCATGCACCGACCGTCTCTTCTGGATGCCAGTGTCGGAGGCAGGAAAACTCTGTCCTTCTTCCTTCCTCTCTTGATTCCCCTGTTGGGATACATGGTCTCGGTCAGGGACAAAGAACCTCAACAGGTGTCCCGTGGCTTAGGGCTAGCCTAGGCTGTTGCTTCTGAACCTGGGGTGCAGCCTGAGGAGGTACAGGGGTGCAAGGACTGAGGAGGGAGACATACACATGGATTCCTGGAAGAGGTTGCTTGGCCAGCATGCTGGAGTCAGACATGCAGCTGTCATGCCTCTGTCGCCCAGCCCGTTGGCCGCCCCACCTGCCTCCATTTCTGGACTGTTTCTGAAAGCTCAGGGACTACGTATGCTGAGTGCCCAGAGAGCGTCAGCTGCAGGGGCTTGCAGTGAGCAAGCAGCTTGCAGTGACCCCAGCTTCACTGCACCGCCCCTGCTTCCCCTCCGCAGTGGTCTGCAAGAAGAACCTGGACAGCACCACTGTGGCCGTGCATGGCGAGGAGATCTACTGCAAGTCCTGCTACGGCAAGAAGTATGGGCCAAAAGGCTACGGCTACGGGCAGGGCGCAGGCACACTGAGCACCGACAAGGGGGAGTCGCTGGGCATCAAACACGAGGAGTGAGTAGAGACCCTCCCGCCCTGTTCATGCGCTCTCTCCCCCTGCCCCAATGTCAGACGTGTCTTCAGCCACTTTAGGTTAAGTAGTGCAAGGCTCAGAAAGCCACTATCTCAAAGGAAGTCACAGAGTACCCCTGTGTGCCAGGCTGCTGGAGGAGCTGGGGTTCAGGGGTACTGAAACAGGCTCCTGTCTACACTGGGTGTGCATCCTGCGTTTGCATAAAGTTCAGAGCTGGGAAGGGCCCTAAGAATTACTTAGTCCAATTTCCTCTTTTTATGGAGGAGAAAACCCTGCCCAGGCTCAGGGACCTGCCTGGGCCCACGGCTAGGGGGCGTCTGAGCCCGACCAGGGCAGCACCGTGGCCACACCAGCCCTGTCATCTCTCACCCCTGCTATGGAGAAGTCAGTTCCCATGGAAATGATGCCACAGGGTGTCACTGAGTCCCCTCATCCCCGCCCCCATGGCACCCCCGGCCACTGACCTGCAGTAAACAGTGGCCACTGGCAATCGGCCTGGCCAGCTCCTCGGCCCCAGGAGCAGGACGGAAAGGACGGATCAGTTACCAAGATTCAGCCAAGGTCATTGCCCCAGTGGGAATGATTTGTCAGCAGATTTCTCCTGCAAAGAATCTGTAATAGACCAGCTACAGGAATGAGGGGCAGAGGAGGGCGATTCTTAGCAAATGAGGTGTCAGTCAAATGGTTCCAGAGTTTTTAACGGGGCGACTGAGGGAAGTTTGATGTTTCAGTGGAGATAACATTGTGCTGAGCCTTGGTTTGTCCAGCTGTGAAACAGGAGACGACCCTAGAGGCCCCGGTGGCCCTAGCCTTTGTAACTCAGGTAGAGGGAGCTGCTGCTTGCCCTGGCGTGAGAGGAAGGTGGGCTCAGAGAGGAAGGTGGCGCCAGCCCCAGCCGTGTTTCTCCGTCTGAGTCATCTCGCCTTCTCCACGCAGGGCCCCTGGCCACAGGCCCACCACCAACCCCAATGCCTCCAAGTTCGCCCAGAAGATTGGCGGCTCCGAGCGCTGCCCCCGCTGTACCCAGGCGGTCTACGCCGCGGAGAAGGTGATCGGCGCTGGGAAGGTACGGTGGCTGCTGCGTGTGACATGACAGGGAGAGGGGAGGGAGACGTCTTCCTGAAATGTGGACTCCAGAACTTTGCAAGTGTCCACACTAGCTCTGCTTGGGGCAGCCTGGGCTTTAACCCTTCCCTTGTAGAGAAGGAGTAAGCCATTGTCCCCGTGGGCTGTCTGCACCTGTGCCTTCGAGTCTCCAAGGAGCTCATGGCAGCCATGAACAGTGACATCCCCATCGATAGACGGCCTGGTGGTCAGTTCGTAGGGAGTTGCAAGGATCCGTCTGTATCTCTAGTGTTGGGGACTGCAGAGGCTAAGCGTGCACGGATGGACGGGTTTCAGAGGGTCCGCAAATGCCCTGAAATTATACGCAGAGTTCTGTGGGATCACATCTCTTTCTGGGAAGAAGACCCGTAGCTTTCATCAGATTTTCACAGGGATTTGTGATCCCCACTATGTTAAGAACTACCCAAAAATATACTTTCTGTTTCGTGGGATATAGACTCCCAATAGAGCTGGACTAAATGAGTTGCCCAGATCTGCTAGCTAGGAAGGGGCTAGGCCAGGACCGAGCCCAGGTTTGTCTGACTCGGAAGCCCCTGTTCTTACTGCTCTGACTACTGTTAACTCTACTTCGGGCCATGCAACCCCTTTGAACCCGCGTCCACAGCTGGAAAATGGGCAGGAATTGTTCATCCCAGCACGGTGATGAGCTTGGACCCTAGACAAATGCTGGTCTGAATCCTAGCTTTGCCATTTACTAGTTGTTTAGCCTGAGCCTCCGTCCTGCATCCAGTGGGCCTGGATGGGGGAGGAAATGATGGTCCTCGACACACAAGGTGGTTTTAAAGAATTAAATGAGATGATGCCTGTATGTATGGTGCACGGTGTAGCACCTCGTGTGTGCTAGCACGGGCCAGCTGTTGTTATGGTTCTTGTTTGCTTTGGGGGGTTGTCGTGAGGTCAGAATGAGGATTGCTGTTGATTAAAGGATGGAAACAAGGGACATTAATGTTATTATTATTATTATTTTGAGACAGAGTCTCACTCTGTCGCCCGGGCTAGAGTGCCGTGGTCGAGCTAGCTCACAGCAACCTCAAACTCCTGTGCTCAAGCGATCTCCTGCCTCAGCCTCCCGAGTAGCCGGACTACAGGCATGCGCCACCATCCCGCTAATTTTTTCTATTTTTAGTTGTTTGGCTAATTTCTTTCTATTTATAGTAGAGACAGGGGTCTCACTTTTGCTCAGGCTGGTCTCGCACTCCTGAGCTCAAGCGATCCTCCTGCCTCGGCCTCCCAGAGTGCTGGGATTGCAGGCGTGAGCCATCGTGCCCGGCCAATATTATTATTATTAAGTTGGGTTTTTTTTTCTCTGTCTCCCCATGAGAATGGAATACTATGAAAAATACTTAAGAATCACTAGTTCTGTTATTAAGACAGGGTATATAAGGTGAAGTTAAGGCCGTACTAAGGAGCAGGATAAGAGAACCTTGCGTTCAAGTGGAAAAGCTGGGCAAAGCCGTCATCTCTATTGCCTGTGTCAAGAAGGAAATATTGAGAAGCTGGGAGTACTTTTAAGTGCTGTATGAATGAGCAAAGGGATTGAGCTTATTTAGAAGGGGGGGGGGTGCCTAGGCAGTGTGGTCTAGCCGGGATCCAGTCCTTCCCCAGCCTGGAGAGCTTGGGGGAGCAGCCCCTGCTTTACGGAGGAGGCACGAAGGCTGGTGACTGCTGAGGGTGCAGCTGGTGCTAAGGGGACAATTGAGACCCAGGTCCCCCCCACCTTAGCTTTCTGGACCCTACACTGTCTCTTGGGCACAGGAGGAGGGGCCAGCGTGCGAGCTCAGGCAGCCGGGAAATCCGAGGGGATCCAGTTTCCTTTCTTATCTTCTCGCCTGGACACCGGGCGGGCAGCTGGGCGGAGGGAATCTCTTTGCCCTTAAAAGGCCTTGTTTTTTTCCTGTCGGACTGCTGTCTGCCTCTTGCTTTTCCTGGGCTTAGCAGAGCTGTCTGCCTATCAGCCTGTTAGCCCGCTCGGCTGCTGCTGACGGGAGCTGGCCGCAGGGCAGTCTGTCTGTGTGAGGTCACATCACTGCACGGGGCCTGTGTTGCCCTGGGGCACCTCTCCGAACCCCATGGGGCCTTCTGTGGCCTCCGGAGAAACCACACTCTTCAGGCCTTTTCCTGCAAGGATTAACGCGTTTCATAGGCCCTTTCTCCTTCCAGTGTAACACTAGCAAATGTTGACTCAGAGCCCCCCCCCCATGCCAGGCCCCACACACTGGTGACATCGTTTGATGCTCACGGCTACCTGGTGAGAGAGACGCCCACTGCCAGAGAGGCGGGGGCCTTTGGGCAAATGAAACACTCGGTTCTAGAATCTCAGAGGCCCGGCTGGTTCAGGAGAACCCCCGTTACACACGCCCGCTCCGTGGCCGGGCCTCGTACGTGTAATACCTGGCCCGACATCCATTCTGCAAGGTGGGCAGGTCTCGCACCCGAGGAAGCCGTGGAGGCCGGTCAGCTAGTGAGTGGCAGCACCGGGGAGAGCCCGGAGCGCTTGCTCACGCCGCTAACCCACGGCAGGAGAAGGCTGGTCCGGCCCCGCCTGCAGGAACAGCTACCTTGGCCGCAGTCCCATCCCCTCGGCTGCCCTTTGTGGTACAGCTGGTGCCACTAACCATTGAGCCACTGCGACGCCTCATTGGAGATGGGGTGAAGTGGCGTGTGGCCCCCGGCCCGCTCCCTCCACTGCCTGGCACCACTGTACTCCCTGCAGTCCCGGCTGAGCAGACTTTGGCAGTGCCTTGGCCCTTCCTCCGTGGTTCTGTCAAGGGGAGTGGCGCTGTGGGTGGAGGGGACCCTAGTCGGCCGGCAGCATTAACTCTTCCCTTCCCTACCTAGTCCTGGCATAAGTCCTGCTTCCGCTGTGCCAAGTGTGGCAAAGGCCTTGAGTCCACCACCCTGGCAGACAAGGATGGCGAGATCTACTGCAAAGGTGGGCGCTTCCCTTGTGAGTGAGGGCTACGGGGCCCAACGGGGAGGGGCCCTGAGAAGTTGTGTCTTTGCTGAATGTGGGCCGATTCCTGGCCTTGGGGCCCCAGAGAGCCAGAGCATCTAGGACTTTCTTCTCTGGAGGTCAGGCCAGGCACGCGGGGTGGGGTCTCTCCCGTGGGGGGTGGGCGTGAGGCTGGGGCAGGGGAGCGGGCTCTGACCTCCCCCCTCTCTCTGCAGGATGCTATGCTAAAAACTTCGGGCCCAAAGGCTTTGGCTTTGGACAAGGAGCTGGGGCCTTGGTCCACTCTGAGTGAGGCCGCCGCCGGCCGCGCCCTGCCCACTGCCGCGCTTTTCATCGCCATGCCCTCCCCAGCGGCCTGGGAGGCCTCCAGGATGCCTTCTCGCTCTCTCAGCCCTGCCACACACCACTAATGACTTGCATTTGGTCGTCTGGCTCCCTTTGGTTTGGGGGTCTGCCTGAGGTCCCGCCCTGCTAAGGGGCTCCCCCTTCCTGGCATCCCCAGTAGGAGACGGCGGCGGTGGTTTTGATCTGGGTGAGCCCAGGCTGCCCCTGCTGGCTCCCTCCTCTCACCCCCCAGCCCTCTGTCCCCAGCCTGCTGGGCTGAGTGTCCCTCATCAACCGGCCAGGACACCCAGGACACCCGAGCCCGCATGGTGGAGCCACAGGAGCAGCAGCAGCAGCCTGGAGGGGGAAGGCGGCAGGACCCGATGGGGCGGAGCGAGGCTGGGGCTTATTGGATCCCAGGGAGTCTCCCCTGTGAGAAAGAGAGGGGGCTTCTTGGTGTCCCCCCAAAGAAGGAGTCCCGGCTTGGGGAGTCGCTGTGGGAGGCAGAGAGGGTGCAGGCAGGACTGTAGGAGGCCCCGCTGCTCTAGGCCACCTGCCTGCCGGTCTCTGTGCACCTGGTGTCCCCTGACTTGCAGTGGGAGGAGAACAACCCAGGTCTGAGGACCTCAAAGTCGGAATGTTGTCTGGCCTCCTCGGACAGGCTCGGTGGCCGGATCCCAGTGAAACGCACCCCCCCCACACACACACACATTCACGTTTATCGGTGGCCCACATCTCCCGGGAGTTAGCTCTGGGCCTGCCCCTGGGTCCTGAGGCTGCGGTTGGGAGCTCCTGCCTGTCCCGGCACCGCCCAGAGCTCTGTTCTTGCCACACCTGCTTGATCCCAGATGAGCATGGAGGCCGACACAGCCTCAGTCTTCCTCCAGACACCTCTCCCTATGCCCCCCGTCCTCGGGACCTTCCCTCCTACCCAAGACCCTGCCCCTCCACTCCACTCTTCTCCAGGGACCCTTCTCTGGCCACAGCACTCCATCACTCCGTCCCTTCCAGGCCCCAGGTCAGGAGCAGTGGGGGAGGGGGCAGGGGCTGGTGACTGAACACCTGGGTGGCAGGCATGGGCCATGTTCAAGCCGATTTCCCATCTGGTCAATAAAGCTGTTTAGACCAAAACCTTGGTGTCCGATCTTGCAATCCTGTGTCCGGGGAGCACCGCCACTCCCCTGGGGCCGGGAGGGAACTTGATGGGAACAGTCAAACGAGCAGGAGGCTGCCGGGAAATGAGTCACAGTGGGTTTGTTCCTGCTTTCACTCGAGGACCGAATGCTTTTCAGTATCGATTCTAACTGAGCGCACCGCCCAGAGTGACCAGACCAAGCAAATGCCACCGCCTTGCCCTGTCTGGCCTCCTCCCCCACACCTGGAATGGGAACCGTGTGGGCTTTGGACGTTGAGGAGCTCAGCCAGACCCCAAAATTGTGCTCAGAACTTCAGCCTGCTTGGAAAGCCCCAGTGAGAGAGGGAGACTCAGCCGGAGGGACTTGCGTGTCAAATCCAGAAAGCTCGCTTCTGCCTCGGAGGGGTGGGCTGCAGGGGCCTAGCTCAGCCCTCCACGCGGTTGGGGCCCCCACGGCCCAGTCCTTGGAAGGCCTCGTTGTTCTGGAAATAGGCTCATTGGAGGGGTTGCAGTGCCCTTCACCTTGGAGATCCCTGCCTGACGCTTTGGGGCTGGGCTTCTCTGCTCCAGCCCTTCTTGAAAACGTGCCCCACGGAATTTTGAGAACAACAGGAAGCAGATGCTTTAACGAGGCCTGTGTGCATGTCACCCAGATGAGCAGATGCAACAGTGGCCTGGACAGATCCCCCTCCTTGACTCTGGGAGTGGGCCCTGCACGCGCGTGAGACAGGAGCACGAGCGGAGCAGTAGGAAAGCGCCAGGCGACAGGTAGAAGAGCTGGAGGAGTCAAGGGAGAAGGCCAGCAGCCAGGGTGGGCGCCGGCTGGGAGCCCCCCAAGTGGGGTCCAGGGCCCCCTCACCTGGCGTCCCCTCTAGCTCCAGCACAGGGCGTGGCCGGGGGAGCTGCTGGGGGAAGGGTTTGGGCGCGGAGGACGGACGGATGGTCCCGCAAACACAAGTGGATCCTCCTGCTGTCCTGGGAGGGGCCACAGGAGCGGCCCGGATAGGAGACTTCGGGGCCCAAAGCGGGAATAGGCTGCCCTCTGCTGGCTGCTCGGGCGGGCCTCTGGGCGCCCCACCCTCCCCGCCCCCGCCACACTCGTCGTCCTGCTGGGGTTCTTGCAGGGCAGCCCCACAGAGGGGAAGGGGCCTGGACGCGCCTCCTGGGGGTGAGACCGGGGAGAGGCGGCGGGGCTGGAAGCCACGTGCGCTGGGCCGGGACGCACCCTCTGGGCCCAGGCGGGTGGGGCGGGCGGGGTGCACCGGGGAAGGGGGGTCCGCTGGCCGGGAGCGGGGCGGGCACCCGCAGGCGCGGCGCTCGCCAGGAGACACCAGGGGGTGCTGTGGGGCCGGGGCAAAGGCAGGCGCGTCCCAGCCCTCCACGCCCGGTGCGCCCGAGGACCCTTAGCTCCTGCGCGCCGCACGCTCTTCCCTGACGCTGGCTTCTCCGGGGAGGATTTGCGCGCACGGCCCTGTGCTATACCCGACCGCGGACTCGACCGACAGGTGAGCAAGGATATTTATGTCCGTTCAGTGTGTCTTTCCTCGTTTCTGGGATCTCTGAACAAGGTGTCCAGGGCGTCCCCAGGAGAGTGCGTTTGGTGGGAGTGTGCCCAGTTGCAGGAGCGGCTGTGCCCTGGGCCTTTAGGGTGTGGCGGGGAAGAGCTGACCCTTCCGCTGGGAGGCAGGCCCAGCCCCCTCGGGCTGCCCTCCGGCAACCTGTTTGGGCCACCTGAGAGGCCGCGGAGGGCCAGGGAGACCGGAGGGAGGCAGGTAGACTGGCGGAGCGAGGACAGAGCTCCTCAGGGGAGTTGCTGTTAGGTGTGGGAGTGATCTCCGAATCGAGGGCACGGAAATTCTTTGAGGGGCAGAAACCCAGCGAGGCACGGTCCCCACACCCAGCTCAGGTGAGTGCGGCGGAGGCAGGTGGGGCGGAGTGAGCAGCTCTCTAGACTACCGGAGACTCCGGCCCCGCCCCGCCCCCAACCGCCCCCGAACTGTGAGAGTCGGAGAAGGAAGCCTTTTAAAGTGGATTTCCAGCCCCACCCCTGGAGATTCGGATTCTGTCGGCGCGGGTGGGGCCTGGGAATCTGCATTTGAAAGGCTCCTCCTGTGATTCGCGCGGCCAATGGGCCAGGCTTGAGAACCTGCGGGCTGGTGCAGCCTCCCAGCCCGGCCGCAGCCTCCCAGCCCTGCCGCTACCCGCCCTTGCGGCAACCGCTTAGCTCAGCGCCCCGCCCGGCAGCTGCCTCCCAACAGGTCTGGTGATAAGAGAGGACTTCCTGGAACTTCCTATTTCTGTCTCCTGGAGTCATCCGGAGCCGGTCTAAACCCTCTCTCGGCGCTGCAGAGATCTGAGGGGCGGCCCCAGGCCCCGCCTTCCCAGCACAAGCGTAGCCTGGCCTTTCAGTGGGCCCTGATGGGGCACGGGGAGCCCAGTGAGCTCAGTTCATCAGTCGAGGAGGAAAAGCGCAGTCAGGGCGTGCAGGCAGCTGGGTCCAGGTCCCATCCCTGAACTCTCTCTCTTTTTTTTAGACAGAGTCTGGCTTTATTGCCCCGGCTAGAGTGAGTGCCGTGGCGTCAGCCTAGCTCACAGCAACCTCAAACTCCTGGGCTCAAGCCATCCTCCTGCCTCAGCCTCCCAAGTAGCTGGGACTACAGACATGCACCACCATGCCCAGTTAATTTTTTCTATATTTTTAGTTGGCCAATTAATTTCTTTCTATTTTTAGTAGAGACGGGGTCTCACTCTTGCTCAGGCTGGTTCTGAGCTCCTGACCTTGAGTGAACCTCCCGCCTCGGCCTCCCAGAGTGCCAGGATTACAGGCGTGAGCCACCTCGCCAGGCCCATGCACTCTATTCTTAAGAAGAAACTGCCACATACTGGGGGCATGAGGAGTGGTGCCAGAACAATAAGTCAGGACCATAGCTAACATTTATCGAGCACATGCGCTATCCCTGGCACCAGCCTAGATGCTGTCCTATTTGATTGTCACATGAGCACTAGGAAGTGGTTAGATTATCTGTTTATCATAGAAGAGGAAACAGATTCAGTGAATTTTTAAGTGACTTAAAGTCCCTGGTGAGTGGTGGAGCCAGGATTGGAACCAGCTATGTGACTTTGGGCCATCCACCTCCCCTCTGGGTGTCAGCTCCTCATTTGTGAAATGAAGACGTTGCCCTAAATTAGTTCCAGGGAAGTGCTTCTCAAGGTTTAATGTGCATATGAATCTCCCCAGGATCTTGTTAAAATGCAGATTCTGGTTCAGTAGTTTTGGGTGTGGCCCAAGACAGGCATCTCGCACAAGCTCCCAGGGGAAGGTGCTGCTGCCACTTCTCCGGGGCCCCACCTGTGCAGCTGGGCTCCAGGGGACCCGCCCAGCTCTGATGTTCTGAGTTTATGGGCCTAGGAAGACTCGCCCCAAAGGCCATGGAAATTCAGGAAGCAGACCCGTCATGAACAAAGCCCTTAGTGGGCATTTTTCATGCCTGGACAAATCCTCGGTGACTTTTCTGAAGCACCTGCCCCTGAGCCTTCCGCATTTCCACGCCGTTGACCTCAGCCTGACTCTTCCCGAGAGTTCAAGGGCTTGGTCCTGGGCCAAGGGGGATTTTTGCTCCCTACTGGAGGAGGGAGAGGAGCCTTTGTGGTCCTGCCTCCTGGGCGCCACCCACCAGTCCCATGGCAACCGCGCTGTCTGGTCCTTTAGCTACTCCTCATCTTCCGGGCTCATGGCAAGGTTACGTTTCTCCTCCTTCCTTGAATTGAGATGTGGCCATGTGGCTTGCTCTGGCCTCTAATTGAGACCAGGAGTGACTCACCCCTTTTCTCTGTTGTGGAGAGGGTGGAAGTGATGTCAAGATGGAACTGCCATCAGCCTGGATCTGTGTGTACCCCACTGAGCAGAGCCTCCCCTGCCAGCCCAAGTAGGACATCTGGTGCGTGGGACAACTTTGCCGTGTTCAGCTATTAGGTTTGGGGGGAGTCCGTTGGTGCAGAATAACCTGGCCCATCTCGACTAGTACGCATGCCAACATCAGCAGTGACGTGGGGATAGCACCTTGAACAGGCCACATCCAGTACTGGGAGACCATGTTTCTGCAAAGTCAGCGCTGTGGCCTGTCAAAGATCTAGTACTCACCTCTGGGACCTTCTCAGCAGGAGGAAACATCTTCTTGCCAAAGGTAGGAGGGGATTCCCAGAGGATGTGAACTCCACCGCCCCCCCGTTTTGCCAGTCCCTATTAAGAAGAGAACTCCGACTCAGCAATTTGCCTAGAGCCTCGCCCAGGGCTTAGCTCACAGCTACCTAATTCACACACAGTAGGACTTACTCCAAAGTTCCTTCCCTTGAATCTCCCCATAGATCACATCTAAGAACGTGCTGTGAGCCTCCCTCTCCTCCCTCCGCCCCTCACATGTCCCTCTGCCTTGAGCTACCTGTTCTTCACTTCCCCTCGGCCCCACTCCCAGGCTGGACAGCTCAGAGCCTCCTCCTCTGCCTGATCTCAACAAGGACACTGCAGAGAAACTTCCCTGTTGTCACAGTAACACTCAGGAAGAATAATCTTCATACACTCTCACCATGAAGCATTTGCAAATCAGAGGCAAGCAGGAAAAGACTCAGCCATAATCCCCTCCTCTCAGTGAGAAGGAACTGCTGTTGCCACTGTTACCTGTGGACACACTGTTCCTTGCGTTCCTGCTCCCCTATGCATTCTCCCTCCCTCCCCCTGCAATTTTAGAGAGAGTCTACAAATGTCTGTTCTTTAGGGGAAAAGGGAAGAGCCAACCACAAATGCAGAAGATGTCAGAACTAGAAGGGGACTTATCCCCTCATCCTCCAACCAACCCCCTCCCATTGCCAATGAGAACCCTGCTTTGTACTGGTCCGGCTGCAAACATGTGAAAAGTGTAGACAAATATCTGGCAAGACCCCCAGCAACCTAAGTGATTGTTGTCTCTGGGGCTGGAGGGACAAGAAGGGTGTGGAGTTCTGCTTGCATTTGAAGCACATTATTATTAAAAGGAAAGAGAAGCTATGGAACAGAAAGCAATCGCTGTGTCAGGGTTGCACAGCTATTACTGGCCGGTTGGTTAAGGACACTAGTTAGTTCCTTGGGCATCAGTCAGACTCCTTCTGGTATCCTTGCCCCTCGACCCCAGCGTCCCCAAGGAAGAGTGTCATTCCAGGGCAGCCCCTTTGCTCCTACCACATGGGCACCCAGATGCCAAGATGGCATGGGGAAAGGGAAAATCCTGCAGGCCCCAACCTGACCCCCGAGCCCACAAGTCCAATCTCAGACCCAAGCTGGGATCAAATGCCTTCAAGCCCAGACTCAGCCCCATCGGAGAAGGGCAGTGGGCGCTCTCAAGACGAAAGGGATCCCTGGTGAATCAGGAAAGTTATTGGGCTGGAAAGTGATTAAAGGGCTGAGCATGGGAGGGAATTTCCACCGAACACGCCAGGCCCGGGAGCAAGCCTGGGCGGGTCGGCTGCAGGGTGCTGCCCACTGAGTTCTGTTGCAATGGTGCCCATAAAACCTAAGTCATTAGAGACTTCAAACCCCGGCTGTTCCCCCCCCCCATGTTTCCCTTTAGAACAACAGAGATCCAAGGAAACCCCAAAGCTCTGGAACAAAGAGCTGTACATCAAAGGGGGTGAGCAGGTCAGGAGGAGTTGGAGGGAGAGGACAGCTGGGGGGTGGGTCTCCCTGCCCCCCGGGCCCCCAGGGAGAGGAGAGCAGGGGGGAACCTGTGGATTGGAGGGGGCGTGCAGAAGCCCAGAAAGCGGGGGGGGGCGGGGAGAAGCAGGGCTGTGGACCTATTTTCCTGCCCCATCCAGGTGAGGAGGAGATACCTGGCCTGACGAATCTAGGAATGTGGGGCAGGTTGAGGAGGGAGTAGCTACATTTTTTTCTCACCTATATAGAGAGTTCCCTGACACCCATAAACTAGCCAGGCTTTCTTGCAAATCTGTACTGAATTTGTAAGACAGAGCTAGACAGCCTGCATTCGACAGATGAGGAAACTAAGGTCAGAGAGGGGGACTGACTGTCCGAGGCAACACCAAGTGTCACAGCTGCGGCCATAGCGCGCGTGGCCTGTCTCGGAGCTGAGTGCGCCTTCCCCAGTACCACCGGCTCTCACGCATGTGCATCAGAGTCACCCGGAGGGCTTGTGAAGCATGGATCGCTGGGACCCAAACCCAGAGTTTCTGACTTGGTAGGTCTGGAGTAGAGCCTAGAATCTGCATTTCCAACAAGTTTCCGCCTGGGCAATACCGACACCACCCTTTGAGAACCACTGCTCTAGACCCTTGCTATCTAAGGTGCGTAACACAGACTAGCAGCATCAGCGTTACACGAAAGCTTCTAGAACTGCAGAATCTCAGCTCCTATCCCAGACCTGCTGGATTAGAATATGCATTTATAAGATCCCCAGGTGATTTGTTTGCACGTTGCCAGGGGACAATGGGGAGCCAGCCCCTTTTCTACAAGGTTTCCCAAGGTTGGGGAACGGGCAGAGCACTGCAGGGGCAAGAGGGCCTGCTCTGCTCTGGTGTTCTCCCCTACACTGGGGGCTCCCCAGCGCCCGCCCCGGAGAACCCCGGGAATGCCCTGACTCCAGCAACAATCGTGCAAGCCTCTACCTCAACCCCTGGTTTCACGCCAGCCCCTGCATTTGAAATTTTATTTTAAAAGTATGTGTAATATGTGTGTGTTTATTTTATTTAAAACGTGTAAGACATGAGTATGACATCCAAACCACACGGAAGCATGCTCACCAAGTGACAAGCATCATCATGCTGTCCGGCCACATCCTGGAGATCCCACAGGTAGCATATTGATCACTACTCCTTCCAGATAACCTGTACAACAGAGGCGGACTTTTATTCATGCGGGGTCATGCTATATACCACGTTACACTTCCTACACTGAAACAGATCCCCACGAAACAACACATCTCAGACATCTCTCTCTATTAAGACCCGCAGATCTGTTTGATTATTTTTAATGGCTCCACTGCATGGACATTTATGTACTGTGCATTTAATTAGATTTTTAAGGGAAGCAATGCATGCACAGGATTAAAAAAAATCAAACAATACAAAATGGTGAATAATGAAAAAATACAAGTCTCTATCTTCCTTCCCCATTCTTCCCCAGAGGAACCACTTTAATCATTTATTTTTGGTGTTAATTAATAGACTTAATTCTTGTAACAGTTTTAGACCTATAGAAAAGTTCAGCAGATGGCACAGAGTTCCTGTATACCTCCCTCTGCCCCCCATATTTTCCCCATTATTAACATTTTGTATTAATATGGTATATTTGTTTCTATGAATGAACCAATATTGATACACATATTACTAATTAACATGCATAGTTTAAGCTCACTCTTGATATTGTACTCTTCTGTGGGCTTTGACAAATGCATAATGTCATGCATCTGCCTCTGCAGTATCCTACGGGACAGTCTTACTGCCCTAAAAATCTCCCACAACTGCCCAGTGGTTTCCATTGTTTTAAATGATATACTTAGACCTGTTTTTATTAGTTCCTTAGCTCTAGATTGCATTTGTTGGCTCCCGATAATGACAGAAGGGGAAACTATTGCATTACCCTCCCAATTTTTGTCAGGTACATTGCCATTTCATTTGTTCGTTCAACAATTTTTTATGGAGGGCCTGCTGTGAACTAGGCAACATTCCAGCTGCCGGGGCCACAGGGGCGAAGGAAACAGATAAGACTCCCTGCTGGCACCGCGCCTGCATTCTAGGAGAGGAGCTGAGCCATGAATAAGAGAACTACGGAGCTGAGGATGCTAACATGTGCTGGAGAGAAAGCCACGCGGGGAGCAGGTACGGTGAGAAGTCATGTCTGAACAAAGGGCTGAGTGAGGTGAAGAACCACAGGGCAGTCCTGGGGAGAATGTTCTAGACAGTGAGAAGAGAAAGTGCACAGCCCCTGAGGAAGGAGGTTTGTGGGATTCCAGGGATGGTGAGGGTTAGGGCTGGAGCCAGGGGAGGGAGGGGCGAGTTCGGGAGGTGAGGTCAGAAAGTGAAGGGCCTATCTGGGGGTGGGGTGGCTTGCAGGTGGCCTCCCTGACTTTGGCTTTACTCAGAGCGAAATGAGAGGGCTCTGGTGGATTTGGAGAAGAGGAGCGACGTCATCTTCAGTTTTAAATTTTCTACGGTGTTAATGTACATTCTATTTTGTTAATAAAATGATCATCAATGCTTTAGATTGAGTCTAACAATTTATGAGCCGTACGTAGAATTCATGGGAATAAGTATTGCAAGAAACAGAAGCTGTTACTTTTTGCATCTCTCTGGGTGCCATTCTTGCCTCCGGCCCACCTTATTTCCACTTCTCCTTCCACCTTGTCCTGGGCAGCCCCCAGAGTGGGTCCTGCTCCCCACGCGGCGTCCTCCTCCCCATCCAACGTGGGGTGGCTCAGGCCGAGCTAGAACCATTCCCAGTATACTCTTTCCTGGGGCTGTTTTGCAATCCGGCCTGTTCCAGCTGGACTCGGATCGGATCGACTGACAGTGCATATCAGCTTCCCTGTGGGGCCGGCAGAGGAGGAGCCAGCTCTGGGCTGCTACCAGGGGGACATTCTGTCCATCACTGGATCAACAAGTCATTAAGAATTGAGTATCTGTGGGGCCGACGTTGCCTCGGCCGAGTGCTCCGGAAGGCCGAGTGGGAGCTTCTGTCCCTGGGGAGGTAGGGGGACACCCCACCAGGGAGGGAGCACCAGCACCAGCCCCCTCTGCACCCTCTCCCCCTGGCTCTTGAGCACTTCTTTATTCTTCTCATGGCCCACATAACCCAACCTGGGCCTGAGCCTCTCCCAGACGGGGCTACCAGGAAAGATGCCAGTTCTGGGGGAAGATCCAGAATGAGTCATCTCCCCTCGCCCCAGGAGGTCATGAGACTGGAAGACAGGACTCCAGGTTTCCAGGACCTACCCAGGCCACCAGGAAGAAGTGCTGCTGAGAGTTGGATGTTTCATTGGCGAAGATCCTTCTAGCAGTAGAGTATGCCCCACTGAATTCCCTCCTCCCTCTTTGCCTACTCGCTCTTGCTATCCGCAGTGCATTCCTGTTTTGCCCTTCTCCTGCGTCCAAATGCCCGGCATGCCTCCCTCCACTCAGTAAGCTGAAGAGAAAAGAGTAGGTGGCTGGGCCATTTCTAAAGGGAACTGTTTATGTTCAGGTGCTTACGCAGAGGTGTTGTTGGAATCATCAAAAGATCCTGGGCCCTGTTAGCCACCCCACATGCTCATCCTGGCTTTGCCATTCACAAAGCTGTGTGACCTCACTGAGGTTGCTTGGCCTCTCTGAGTCTCATTTTTCTCAATAATAATACTGATCTGGGCCAGGCACGGTGGCTCACGCCTGTAATCCTAGCACTCTGGGAGGCAGAGGCGGGCAGATTGCTCAAGGTCAGGAGTTCGAAACCAGCCTGAGCAAGAACGAGACCCCGTCTTTAAATAGAAAGAAATTAATTGGCTAACTAATATATAGAGAAAAAATTAGCTGGGCATGGTGGCACATGCCTGTAGTCCCAGCTACTTGGGAGGCTGAGGCAGCAGGATCGCTTGAGCCCAGGAGTTTGAGGTTGTGAGCTCGGCTGACTCCACGGCACTCACTCTAGCCTGGGCAACAAAGTGAGAAAAAAAAACAAAAAAAAACCACTGATCTGTCATAAGAATCTAAAACATGTGAGAGGGCTCTGTAAACTTCAAAAGTGCATACAGTTGTGAATTAACGTGGAACTGGAGATAGCACCAGCGGGTCCCAGGCCCCGTGGGGGAAGGGCGGAACTGATTAAACAGAGTCAGGGGCAGAGCCTGGTCCAGAGCCCTGTGTCCTCAGGGAGAGAAGTTGGGATCATGGCAGGACTGTGCCAGGTTGGTGCACTCGGGACACTCCTATGGAGCCACGGGAGGGCATGACTGACAGACAGGCTGAGGCCTTGGGGTGGCCTTGCGCAGGGCTGTGGCCACCTCCAGCTGCCTCCACCGCTGCCCCCTGGGCCTCAGGGACACCTGTCTTGTCTACCTTTCCTCTCTTATGGCAGTGTCCGCTCCCTGTCCCGGAGGGGCGCCCTGGGAGTCAGGAGCCGCGCGGTGAGCGTGTGAGCGGAGGACGACTACCGATGGGAAACCGACGGCTCCGTCCTGCCCCCTGCCCCGTGAGCTGGGGGGCGGGGAAGAAAAGGCACCCTTCCCCCACACCTGGGCCATCCCTGTGCCCGTTAGGTTGTGCTCGTTGGGCAGGAGGATGGAAACACAAAGTGTCCGTACAGAGAGGTCTTATTACTGTCATTATTATGTATCATTATTCCCATAATAATCTATTATTAACATGTGGATGAATAGGCCTTGAAGAAACAATAGGCTTGGAGGAACTGACCAAATGGGCAGAATGGGACCTAGGAGAGCCAGTGCCTGGCCCAGCGCCAGCGTCCCTATCCTTCCCTAAAGACAAGAAAGCTGGGGAAAGGGAATAAGGAACCCCCCCGCCCCCCCGCCGTCCCCCGCAAGCAGTGCGGTCTAGGAGATGCGCCTCCTCTTTCCTCCCCATTCTCCCCCTTCGTCCAAGCAGCGGCCGGCCGGCCAGCGGGCTCGGGCTGTGGGGCCGCAGCGCCGCGTCCGCTCGGCCTTCCCCGCCCGCCCCGCGCCGCCAGTGAGCGCCCGCGCCCGCCGCGGCCCCCCCGGCCTGGCGAGCGGGCGGCGGCGCCGAGGAGGGAGGCCGGCCGGGCAGGAATGCGCGCGGCGGGCGGCGCAGGCAGCGAGCGGCGGGACATGTAAGGGCACATCCCGCAAGCGGCTGCCCAGCGCACACGGGGCGCAGGAGCGCAGGGGCGCGGGCGGGCGGGCGGCGCGGAGGCAGCGGGCAGAGGCGGTGCGGGCCGAAGCGGAGCGGCGGGGCGCGGAGCGGGCAGGGCCACCAGCGCGCACCGCCCGGGCAGCGGTGTCCGAGGGCGCGGCGCGCGCGCACGGGGCAGTGCGGGCTCGGGCGGGCCGGGCGCTCAGCCAGCGGCCCCGGGCGCCAGAATCCCGCGCGGCGGGGCCGGGAGGGGCACCGCGCCCTCCGCAGCCTGCAGCTGTCTCGGACCCGCGGGGCGCCCATGACGGCCGCGGCGACCGTGCTCAAGGAGGGCGTGCTGGAGAAGCGCAGCGGCGGGCTGCTGCAGCTGTGGAAGCGGAAGCGCTGCGTGCTCACCGAGCGCGGGCTGCAGCTCTTCGAGGCCAAGGGCACGGGCGGCCGGCCCAAGGAGCTCAGCTTCGCGCGCATCAAGGCCGTGGAGTGCGTGGAGAGCACCGGGCGCCACATCTACTTCACGCTGGTGACCGAGGGCGGTGGCGAGATCGACTTCCGCTGCCCCCTGGAAGACCCGGGCTGGAACGCCCAGATCACCCTGGGCCTGGTCAAGTTCAAGAACCAGCAGGCCATCCAGACAGTGCGGGCCCGGCAGAGCCTGGGGACCGGGACCCTCGTGTCCTAAAGCGCCAGGCGCACCATCGTACCTTCTTCATGCTTCTCACCACCGCGGTGCCCAGAGGTCATGCCAGGTAAGACCCCAGGGACTGCGCCCTCGCTTTCTCCTTCCTTCCCTTCACCTCTTTCCCCTACTGAGGGAGGGAACAGCATTCCACTTCACAGCGGGACAGTCCTAGGGAGGGTTCCTGTGGCCATCAGAGACTAGGCACCCAGGAGTCTGCGCATGGGGGGACGGGGCCAGTGGCCTACTGAGCAGAGCTGGACCTTCCCCTGGGCCGCCAGGCAGGAGGGTCCTGAATGCGACCCAGGTGTCTGAGAGGAAGAGGGGAGCCCTGGAAGGGGAGCCCAGGGTTGGGATGGGCCTTGCCACGAGTGGGTTCAGCCCTGACTCAGCTGGAAGGAGGCTGGCCTGCACCCCCGCCCCAGCTGCTGGGCCCCCGCCCCAACCCAGGGCAGCTCCTGGGGGAGAACCAAGGCTGGAGATGAATGGCGGAGACCGACCCTCCTTCCTCTAGGATGAACGCTTGCCTTAGAGTTTGAACATGGCATTGATGCAGAAAGACAGTATCCCTGTTGGCAAAGGAGTCACCAGAGGGCTGGGGACAGAGCCAAGGAGCCCCAGCACCCAAGGCGGGGCCTCAGTGGGAGGGCTTGGCCCGACTGGGCCTGAGGCCTCCAGCTCCCCATTCTTTTTATTTTCCTTTTAAAATTATTATTTAATTTTTGTTTCCACATAGCCTAGGTGTGCAGTGTGACTACCCGTTCTTGCCAGTGGGTTTTGGGCCCTGGGGCCGGGCTGCTGGGAGAGCAGGGGGCGGGCTGGGCCAGGAGTGCAGTCAAGGCCTGGCTGGGCTGAAGGAGAAGCCGGAGGAGGGGACGGGGCACTGAGGCAGGGGCAGGATGGCGCTGCGAGTTGTTGTTTGCGATGTCCTAATCCTCCGTGAGCAGTAGGGCAGGGGTGGGGGTGGATTTGTGGTCAGGAAGGCCCAGGGGAGGGACAGGAATAGAACCTAGAAACCCTGGCTCCCAGCCCTGTGCCCTCTTCCCCAGATGCCATTTGCTCCCCGTGGGAACTAGGAGCGGGCGGAGGAGGGAGTGGTACCACTCTCGTCTTAATTCCTACACCCCCCTCGCCCCAGAACCACCTCCCACGGCACTGCCACCGCCTGCAGGCATCTTCTCCGCTTCCACAAGTGGGGGGTCCAGTGAGGGGGGCCCAGTTAGCGCCCCCTTTCATCCTCGGGTCCACCCCCTCCCGCGGGGCAGTGAGGGCTGGCTGGGAGGCGGCGCCAGGCAGACCCCTGTGCTGAGGATCGAACCACGTGGATCCCGCAGGCCTTGGGGGGCTGGGAGGATGCAGCGCCCACTGAGCACAGAGTGCACAAATGCTTCCTGCTGGGCCGGTCCCCATGTGGGGAAGGCTGGGACGCCAGCAGGTCCCTTTCCCCAGTGCCGCCTTCCGTAACTGCCGTTCTTTCTCGCCAGCTCCCCTGCCCTCTTTGGCTGGAGGGGACGTGACTGCGCCTCACGTGGCGAGGCGGAGGCCGTGGACGCGCGGAGGAGGCGCTGGAGCTGAGGGCAGGGACAGGCCCGGGAGGAGGGCAGAAGGCTGCGAGGGGCTGAGGATGAAGATTCAGCCCTTGGACGTCTCCGACTCTCAAGACAGACCTCGCTCAGGGGCCTCTGGCCACAGGCCTGGCCTCACAGAGCATGAGGGAGAGCTGGCCTCAAAGCGCCCTCCCTGCCGGGGTCCTGCCATCTGTCCCCCAGACTGCTGCACGCCCCCGGCTTTGAGCCACGCCTGGAGGAGGCCGGTCCTCTATGGGGGCACACGAGGAGGCCAGCCTGGTGCCCAGAGGGGGCCTATCCTGGGACGGCTTCTGGACTCACCTCCGGGAGAGGGGACTGCTGGGCCTGAGGCCCATACTTGGGGGTCTCCTGCTGCTTAGGTCCTTTGGGGACCCCCACCCATCCAGGCCTTTTCTTTGCACACTTTACCCCCACTCTACCCATCTTCCCCCCACTGCAGTGCTAGGCCTGGAAGTGGTGGGGGTGGGGTGGGTCTGACCATTACCATTTCATGTCTGTCCCAAAATGAAGTTGCCCCGCAAAGGGCAGTAACCGCGCCGTCTGGTCTGCCGAGTGAGATTTTTTGCCCACAGAGACCCATGCCCTGGGGCATCTCTCTCCCCACCGCCACCTTCCCAATCCACAGCCCATTCCTGAAATCTCTGGTCTGGGCGGGCGGGGACATCACAGCCCCAGTAGGTTACAGCCTCAGTAGTTCCAGGAAGGAGGGGCCTTTGGGCCTGGACCAGGGGGTGTCACACGGCCAGCTCAGTCCCTATAGATGCCTCTTCTACGGGAGGTCACCCTGCCTGTGCTACCGTGGGAGGAGGCTCAGCTTTCTGGGCAGGGCTGGTCTCCCTGTCACTTACACACTCAGGCCAGTATTCCTTACTGGTTGGTTTGAAAGGAATAATTTCAACACAGGGGAAACTGAGGCACAGAGAAATGGCTGCCCTGACTTATACAGCAACCGTGGGTCAGGCAGCCCCTGAGAGCTTTCCACGTGTTGAGCAGTCCGCTCTGCCGTCCTTCTGCTCCGTCCTCCACACACGCATGACCTTCCGTGTGTGGAGCAGCGGCCCTTCACAGTGACCCTGAGCAAAGAGGCCGAGTGGCCCCCCTCGGCAATTTGGGGTCCCTTTAATCACCTCTTTGTGCTCCCAGCCTGCTTAGTTCCCCTTCAGGTTGTTCTTGCCTTCCCGTCAAAGCTTCTCCGTCCCATGTCCCAGTCTCTCCGGGCCCACGGGGGCCTCTCGTGCATCCGACACGTGAACCGCACCTCCCAGTGGGATAAGGGTTTCTAAATTACAAAGGAGCTTTTACAGATACCTCATTTAGTATCGTGTCAGGCCGCACAGCTCTGCGTGGACGGCACAATCCCACCATGGCACCTAAGCTTCTTGCATGTCGACCCTGATCCGTGCTGAGAAAGATCTGGGCTCACCCCGAGTGCTGGGATCAATTGGTGATGTCTGCCATGGGCGCTGGGGAAACGGTGGGGGCAATGGCGGCATTGCATGGGAGGCAGGGTGGTGGTGGAGGAGGGAGGGCGTTTGCCCACCATTCAAGCAATGTTAATAGCTTGAGCGTCGCCATCCTCCTATAAAACAGCAGCCTCTAAGATAGAATCCTTGCTGCTCCCATCCAACCCGGGGTGGGTGGTGATGGGGGTTCAGGGAGGGGGGCATAGGGAGGTACCCAGGCACTCACAAACGGAGGAGTGTTTGTGAGCAGGTGGCACTGGGAGGCAGGGCCCACTTTCAGTAAGCGAAACGCCTCTGTGGCCTGGGCACCATGCTTGGCCCCCCTGGGATGCAGAGAAGGAAGGACACGATCCAGTCCCTGCCCCCAGGAGCCCAGATGCTGGCAGGGAGATTAGTGCCAACTGGTGCCAACAGAGCTGGCCACCAGGAGCCGGGCGAGCCCTGGGAAAGACTTCCTCTGCCCAGCACTAGGGACCTTCTGGGAGCTCGGCTGCCAAGGGCAGAGGGGGCACAGCCAGCACGGGGTGACAAGGGCAGGCGGCAGGTGCAGGGCGGAGGGGCAAGCAGGCTCCGGTGCCGGTGCTCCCTGCTCTTCTGGAACACGCAGCCCCGTCCGTTCCAGTGTGCTTTGGGTCCTGCCCAAACCCAGCCTCGGTTTCTCCTCTTCCTTGGAGGGTCCCAGCCCTCTGAAGAGTGTGCTGCTCTTAGAACCCCAACACAGACCCAGAATGTAGTCGCTCACAGCGTAAGCATAGGCGGTGGCTGCTGCAATGGGCCATCATGTACTGTCATTAATCTCCGAGCACCCTCACAGCACAGAGGTCTGGGGCTCAAGACCAGGTTTTTTTTTTTTTTTTTTTTTTTTTTGGAAACATGATCTCTTTGGGGAGTCTTTGCCTCTCTGATGGGGCAGAGGGCACCCTACTTCCTGCGTTCGTGGCTGTCCTCGCTGCTCTGAATTTCGAAGAAGGAGCATAGGCCTTCACCCTAGGAAGGCTTGGCTGGACCACAGGGCAGGGTCAAGGCCTCTTTGGGGTCATAAACACGCCCAAACTGTGCCGGCAGACGTGCATGCGATGGAAAAACTGTGCTCAGTTGGGCCTGAGCACGCCGTGAGGCCAGGGAGGGGCCATTGCCACCAGCTCTCCCCCTGCCCCAGCAGCCCTGGCCTCACCCTCGCCCGATGAGTGAGTCATGCATGGGAAAATGAGACAGGGCAAGTCTCAGCTGAGCCGCTGGGAGTCCGAGGTGGGGTGGGGAGGCCGAGGGGGGAAGGGATGGGCTCGATCTGGTCAGGGCGAGCTGGGGTTGGGGCTGAGCCTGTGGCAAGAGCGAGCCTGTTGGGAGGTGAGAGCGGAGACCAGTGGGAAGAGCCGGAATGGGAGTTCGAGAGCCGCAGGGACAGCGGGAAGGCAGGAGGGCAGGTCTCCGGGGCACTGTGGTGTGTGATCTTGAACCCTACGGGGGCTGCATAGACTCTGCGGGCAGCTGTCCTGCCAGGGCCAGGACCCGAGGGCCCCGGCCAGACCATGCCTGGCAGGGTGCCAGGCTGCCCTGTGGCCGCACAGAGAGCCCTGCCTCGGCCCCCTGCGATCCCTGCTCCAGTCTGCCCTCCACAGCCAACCACAGTGCTCCTTCCAGAATGCAGCTCATTCTTCCGCTGAGATGGCCAGCAGCCTCCCCACTGCAGTGGGAGGAGGCCGAGCTCCTCGGAAGTGCCTGCACTCCACAGTCGGGGTGCAACCCTCAATCTAGGGTCTGACTCCACACCCAGGGCCCCGGCACGCGAACTTTCCCCGTTCCAGGACCTGCGAAGGCTGCCTCACACTGCCAGGCCTGTGTACCCTACTCTCCCTGCACATTTCCGTACAATTGGCTCAGCGCTCTCTCTCATGTCGCCACCTCCGAGAAGCCTCCCCTGACTGCCCTGCTCTCCCCGCTGTGCACAGCCATGGCTGCGCCATTAGTCACACTGTGTTGCAGTTGCTGGCTTGTGTGTGTGTCTGCCTGTCCAACTAGACCGGTCAGTTCCTGGACTTAGCGTTTGCATAGTCCCGGTGCCTCAGACTATCTGGCACACAGTAGAGTCTTAATAATAATAATAATAATGGTGTACAGTGTTTGCTCTGTGCCAGGCATTGATCTAGGAACTCTATAATTATTAAATCATGTAATGCTCCAATAACCTTGTGAGTTAGGTGCCGTCATTATGACTCCCATGCTTAAGAGATTGAGGCCCAGCGAGGTTAAGTGAGTTGTTCAGAGTCACACAGCAGCTAACGTGTGGTGGAGCCAGGAGTCCATCGGATCACAGTGGGACTCTAGGTAGGCGCGCTTAACCCAATAACAAATAGATTGACTCTAATTGCGTGAGTGAATGATTGAATGAATGAATGAAGGAACCATTTTGCTGGGAGAAAGGAGCTCAGAGGCAAGACAGTTGCTGAGGATTAAGCACCAAGGAGCGGGGACCACGAGGGGACAGAGAAGGGGACGAAGAGTCTGGGCTGAGGATGGGGGAGGCCACGTGGAGGAGGCGACAGGAGCCAGGCACCTAAACAAGGGCGGGTGTCCCTACAGGAGAGGACGCAGGGAGGCATCCCACAGGCTGGGAGGATCAGTGCATGCCCAAGGGAGCAAGGCCAGGACGGAAAGAGCCAGGAAGGACGGAGGAACCCCAGGCTGGGAAGGGGCCATGAGAAATGGGGGGACAAGCAGTATTCCAGGCTCAGCCCGTCCCTGCTGCATTGGCCTGAGATGCTCCTTGTCGCAGAGCCCGGGACACTCCAGCCTGCAGAGACGGGAGCTGAGGGCTCCGCAGCTGTAACCCTAACCCTAACCCTAACCCTAACCCTAACCCTAACCCTAACCTGTGCGGCAGCAGCAGCCCTGGCCCCAGCCAGCTCTCTCACCCTGCGTGCTGACCAACCATCCTAGATTGCCTGGATTCTTCGGTTTCGGATGGAAAATTCTGCATCCTGAGAAGCCTTCCCGCCCAGGGCAAGCTGGGGTAGCTGGCCACCCTACCCCTGCCCCAGGGATGGGAGCCTTGCATCTCCCGGCCTCTCCGTCTCACCAGCCAGCTCATCCATAGCTCAGCTCCGCTAGAGGGACCCTGCTGAGTCCAAGCCCTGGAGCAACAGCCCTGCGGCCCTGGGCATGGCCCACCCCTGACTCAGCACTGTCAGCTTCCTGCCATCTGGGGGAGAGACCCGGGCCCCAGCTGCAGGGAGGAAGAGAGGGAAGGGCCTCCTGGAGTCTCTCCAGGCAGCTCCCGGGCCTCCCCTGGATGTTAAATGCAGTCCGTCAGATGCAACCCGCCCTCAGGGCTTTGCTGCCCGCACAGCATTTGCGGCACAGGGACAAAGGTAGCTGAGCAGAGAGGGCAGCAGGGAGAGGGAGACTGGACGTGCAGGCAGGACATCGGAGCCGGCCCTTTAACTGGAGGATAGGATCCTGACCGTGGTGGGGACAATGTTCCAGGTGGAAGAAATCACCTGTACAAAGGGGCCAGGACAGGCCGGGCACGGTGACTCACACCTGTAATCCTAGCTCTCTGGGAGGCTGAGGCAGGAGGATCAATCAAGGTCAGGAGTTCGAAACCAGCCTGAGCAAGAGTGAGACCCCGTCTCTACTATAAATAGAAAGAAATTAATTGGCCAACTAATATATATATAGAAAAAATTAGCCGGGCATGGTGACGCATGCCTGTAGTCCCAGCTACTCGGGAGGCTGAGGCAGGAGGATCGCTTGAGCCCAGGAGTGTGAGGTTGCTGTGAGCTAGGCTGACGCCACGGCACTCACTCTAGCCTGGGCAACAAGGTGAGACTCTGTCTCAAAAAAAAAAAAAAAAACAAAGGTGCCAGGACTACAAAAGGTGAGGCGGGATAGGTTTGCACAGAGCCTGGGGGTGGGACAGCCAAGCACAGAGGAAGTGGGCTGGGGGGCTCTGGCTTCTTTCTATAGGCAGTGGGGGCCATCACAGAGCTCTGGTCCACACACACACACACACACACACACACACACATGCACACATACATACACACACACGCACGCATACACCTCTTCATTTTT